TTGTGCACCAAATGACTAATATCAGTCCAAATGGTGTGAATTTTGGCACTTCAGACCGAATTAAGCATAGAAATAAGTACTTAAAATTTAGCTATAGCTACAGCTCCCATATATACGATTCATCCGATTTGGTGTTTTAGTCCCTCAAATTCGTAAAATGCACGATACAAGAATAATATTGTTTTCAATTTTATGAAGATCGGCTCAGATTTGGATATAGCTCCCACATATATATTATTATTTGATTTCAGGTTTATTGTGCACCAAACAGTTGTGAGGACGATCAGCCCAAATGGAGTGAACTTTTGCAATTCAACTGAGTTCAACATTGAAGGAAGAATTTCAAATTTGCTCCTCTATATGTGTTTCATCCGATTTAGTTTTTAAATTTCCAACTTTGTACCAGGTATGTCATAGAGCTCAGAAATTGCAATATAAACCTTTCTTTTACGAGAGTTCTACTAAATATGTGTAGTGGTGTAGGGTATAATATAGTCGGCCCCGCCCGACTTTTGAGCTTTCCTTACTCGTTTACTTGTTTTTATATTATTTGGTTCGAAAATGCACAAAATCGGTCAAATTATTCTGAAATCGTTCACACAAACGCCTAAAAAACATAACACATATCTCGTAGCGCGTAAAGATGTAATCGAAATAATTTTTAGGATTGGTTTAAGTATATATATTTTTGGAATATTTTATCTGCAGTCTTCAATATATTTCCATTATTACATCGTTTTCATATTATAAGTTTGATTGGGCCAAAAATTATATAACACCTCGAAATGTTGGTCTCCGAAAAGTTATATTCTGGCCGTTACGAAGATGCCGGTAGTAAATATATCGGATATTTATATAGCGGGTATATACAAAAGGAAGGGATGTTAGCCAGAATGCTTGTATCTCAAGAATGGCTGGACTGATTTTGACAAATTTTGTCAACTCAGAATGGCCTCTTGACATAAAGGAATAAAATCGCATAATAATAATGTTAATATAGATTTTGTTATTTTTTTTTTCAAATTTTTTATTGCATGCGATTTTTTCTATTTGATTTATAATAATGGAGTGCACATTTTGTAAAAATTTTTTCACCTTGAAACTCTAGTTGAGGTTATTATATACGGATTGCAATCATCGTCCGATCCTCGTGAAAATTTTCATAAGGGTAAGGTTAGGCTCAGAAGGGCTAGACCTATTGTTTTTAAAGATGTCCGGGTTTAAACGGTCCAACAACTAAAAATGTTTCTGATTTTGCAGCCGTTTTAAAGGTCACAAATAGAAACCAAAGGACCCGAACAGGGGACAGCGGGTAGTATGGACCACTGTGTATGGACTATGAAAAAAATTTTAACATTTTACCAAAAAGTGAAGTTCAGCTGGCGCTTACGTTATATAAAACCAGCGCTGCCGAGTTTATGATACCCTACACCACTATGCATATTTAGTAGATCTACCTGTATCAAATAAACCTTTATATCGGAAATATACAAATAAACCTTTATATCGGCCCAAAAGTAAACTTCCGATGTTTTTTGGCTGTAATTGACAAAAATGAAGTGAAAAACTTTTATTCCGCTTGTGGTTTATTATACCCTCCACATTGGAAAGGAGGGTATATTAACTTTGTCATTCCGTTTGTAGCATCCCCAAATATTCATCGTAGACCCCATAAAGAATATATATTCCTAATCCTGTGCTGGCAATGCTGTAAATTGTTTTTATATATTCCTTTATGACTTTGATTTAAATTGATCCCAAATTTACAATACAAATTACCATTCCTTTTTTTTCGTTATTCGTTCGCTATCGTTTCTCTCCCCAAAAATCCAATCTTTAAGAAAACATTTAAAGTATTACTTTCTGCTTTCCGTTTCTTTCACGAAGAGTACACATAAAAATATACAAAACACATTTTCGGCATGTATGCAAGAAAAACAAAATGAAATGGAAAAAAAATTAAGTGGATTACTTTTAATTCAATTAATTTCTCCCCAAAAAATCCGCAAATTTGCCGAAAAACAACACAAGAAACATGAATACATAAACAAATCCCCCCAAAAACTGAAGAAGTCTTTAATTTTTTGTTCCTTCTCTCCGTAAACTGAGCGAAGGGAATGAAGGAAGACAGAAATTCAAATGCACACAAGACATAAACAAAAAACGAAACTGAATTCATGGGTAAGCAGTTGTGCAGAGACGCAAGTAGAACAGAGATTAATGAAGAACTTAAATGATGATGATAACTATTAGTTGACAGATATGCATACATATGTGTGTATTGGGGTGGCCAGAAAAATCAATTAAAATATTTTCCACAGCAAGTGGAAACAACGATAACCAGGCTGTACTTTTTATACCATGAAAACTTGAAAAATTATCAAATCTATCAGAAATTCCATGATATATTGAAGGCCTACACCACTTAGTGGTAAGGGCATTATGTCTTTTTGTACATTTGTTTGTAACATGGAGAAGAAAGCGATATAGAACCATAGTTACTTTTAAGGATCTTCATAGAATCACAAACAAAAGAAATGCAAACAATATTTGTTTGGCCCAAGGACGAACCCTATTAAAATTGTGATAATCGAATCAGATTTAGATATAGCTCCCATATATCTTCAACCGATATTGGTTTAATTGTGCACCAAATGGCTACTATAAATCCAAATGACCTGTATTTTGGAACATCTGACCGAAATCACTCTAGAAGCAAGTCCAATAAATTTGGAGAAAATCGGTTCAGATATAGCTATAGCTCCCATATACAGGGTGAGATAAAAACTGCAACAAAGTCAAACGCCATAATTTTTATATTATTTTTTAAATTTTATTGAATGAAAACAAAAAATGTCGGAAATACCGTCAAATTTTAGAATAAGTTCAGATTTGTTCGAATTGGTCACCTCTGGCACGAATTATGGCCTTCAAACGCCAATGAAACGGTCACACGCTGCCGGAATGCTGCTCGGCGGTATTTTGGTCCATTCTCAGCGAAGCGCTTCCTTGAGGTGATCGACACGTTGGTATTATTTAGTGCCAACCTTGCTTTCCAAAATACTCCAGACACAATATCCGGAGATTTTGGTGGCCATTGTGCGCTGGAAATGAAGCGAGGAACCTTTGTAAAAAAAGAAAATCGGACAGATATAGCTGTAGCTCCCATATATATGTTTCATCCGATTTGGTGTTGAGGTCCCTCGCATTCGTAATATGCATTCGATAACATTGATATTTTGTTCCAGATATCTTAAAAATCTCTGAAATACCTTTGCCAAATTTTATCGAGAACGGCTAAGATTTATTACCAAAGTTTCCGCACAGTTATACATACGCACATACCTGTCAAAACCCACCAAATTCTCTCCACCCTGGACACCAACTCGATGCGATGACAAATTTCAGGATTTTAGCTCTATCCATTCATCCAATATCAAATTTGGTACGATTTGGTACTTTTCGTACAATTCTAGTACACATTTTCAAAACCACATCCATATCCCAGATACCAACATAGACCTTAACATTAAATTTCCGGATTCCAGCTCTATCCCTTCACCCAATTAAGTACCACTTTTGAAAAATTATAGCACAGATTTCCAAAACCACCTCCATTGAGACATGGAGATGGTTTTGAAAATGCAGACACCAACAGTGACATATACATCATATTTCAGGATTTTTGCTCTATTTCATCACCCTACACCAAATTTAGTACCATATAGTACTTTTCGTACAAATATAGGACGCATTTCCAAACCACCGTCAAATCTTAAACACTGATACAATCAGTAATCTAAATATCACATTTCAGAATGTTATCTCCAAGCCTCCATCCAATACCAAATATAGCACCATTTGGAACCAACAAAGTCAAACGTCTTAATTTTACATTTTTATATTCTCTACCATAGTATGGAGGGTATATTAAGTTTGTCATTCCATTTGTAACACCTCGAAATATATATTTTAGACCCCACAAAATATATATATTCTTGATCAGCATAAAATTCTATGTCTATTTAGCGATGTCCGCTCGTCTATGCGTCTGTCCGTCTATGGAAATCACTCTAGCTTCCGAACGAGATGAAGTAGATTGATAAAATGTTACTCAAATGTATATTATGGCTGCAGGAATATTGGTATTGAAAATGGGCCATGTAGGTCCACGTCTTCGTATAGCCCCCATATAACGGTACCTCCCGATATTCGGTACTTTGATGATTTTGGCGAAATTATTCACCGGAATTGTTTCAAATTTGGTATTTGAAGTTCATAGTAGATACTTCAGCCTATGACTGAAAATTGTCTGTGCAGGTCCATGTCTTCGTATAGCCCCCATATAACGGTACCTCCCTATGTTCAGTATTTTGATGATTTTAGCAACATTATTCCCCGCAATCGTTTCAAATTTTGTATTTGAAGTTCGTAAAGGATACTACAGCCTATGCTAGAAAATTGTCTGTGCAGGTCCACGTTTCGGTATAGCCCCCATATAATGGTACCTCCCTATATTCGATATTTTGATAATTTAAGCTACATTATTCACCGATTTTCTTTCAAGTTTCGCATTTAAATATTGAAATGGCTTATGACAAAGTTGCCTATGCATGTCCACGTCGTCGTATAGACCCTAATAGAACGGCTACATTCCGTATTTTTGGGATTTAAACAGATTTTTAACGGATTTTATTTATTTTCTTTTTTGTTAAAATTGCCAAATTTGTTCCAAATGGTGGAGGGCATTCAATGTTCGACCCGGCAGAACTTTCAGCTGTTTTACTTGTTTTTAATGAAACACGCATTTTTATTATTTCCACCCTAATATACATTGAATATGCACAATTTATTTTCGTACAAAACCGCTTGTACTCTGAGGGTCAAACAGTGATTAATGAAGAACTGTTTTGATGATGACGTCTCTTTTGACATGTATGGACGTAGGCGTATCATATATTAGAGTGTGACACATTTCAAAATTAAAAAAATAAAAATCATTTATTGATATTTGTAGTAAAAAATGGCTTAAACTTTATTGAAATTAGTAAATATAAATTATTATAAAAAAATGTTTGCTTTCGTTCGTTAGGCACTTTTACTTGTTTTTTTTTACATTTTACAAAATGACCCACCCTAGTGTATAAACAAGATTTTCATAAAAAAAATTAACTTATTTTATGTCGTCAGTTTAAGAAGACTTTTGCCTTATCATCCTTGACCTGAATGACCGCAAATGTCATTTTCTTTGTTGTTGGAAACTTAATTCTCTCAGACTTTTAAATGATTTCGTTTTCACAGCCAGACTACATGGAAGGTACTGGTATGACAGGCTGGAACAGATGTAACCGAGCATCGGCATGTCCCAATTTATTGGTGGCATTGCAATAATAATCACCAAAGTCTAGCTCATTAATGCTGTTGATGCGCAGTATTGAAGTAGTGGACTCATGCGATGAGGCGGTATTGGAAATTTTATAATTCGAACCAGATTGAAGTTTGGCTCCATTGCGATACCAAAAAACGGCAGGAGCAGGATACGCTTGTACAGTACACTCCAATTCGGCAGCATGACTAAGCATTTGGGCAATTTTAGGACGTTGTACGGATATTTGGGGACGGAATTCTACTTCCACCCGTATGAGACGACGATCAGGTTGGCCCACACCATTTGAGGCAATGCAATAGTAGCCACCACGATCTAAGCGATGTGCCTCTTTGATGCGCAATGTTTGGCCATCAAAACTGCTACCACCAGCTGGCATAATGGCACGATTTTCACGTTCCCACGAAATGGTGGGCTGGGGAAATCCATCGGCATGACAGCTTATTTCAAGATTTTGTCCCTCTGTAACCAGCATGGATTTGGGAGTATTTTCCTCGGATATTATGGCTGGATGTTTGATGGCCAAATTAAGTTTTTTGGTAATTTTGTCGGTGGCCGTGAGTATGACTTGACATTCATAGGCACCCATGTCGGTGGCCTCAATTTTGGTAATCTTAAAAGTGTAAGTGGCCTTATTGGCCTTGTCATCGTTGGTCTCCACAATGGTGTAGCGAGGATCACTTAAACTTAGAATATTTCTCATGGAGAGGACCACCGAACCAATTTCACTGGTACGCTTGGCCCAGCTGACCGACATGCGACCCACATTTTCCACCGTACAATTAAATTCAATATCATCTCCCACACTGGCCACCAAATCGGGAGTTATATCACTAATCACAGGTGCCGAGGAAACGGCTGCTGATGCAGCAAGCACTCTACTTCGAAGCGATAGGCCGCACCACAACACCAAAAATATTTGGGAAAAATGCATTTTCTTTTCTTTTTTTGGATGCGAAAGGCGAAAGAAAGCGCGCAAAATATCTTTGTCCCAACTCGCACAAACCTTGACTGGTGGCTGGTTGGTTAGCTTACAGTTCCTCAAAGCGAAATCTGTGATTGTTGTTTATCTGTTTTAGTTTTTTTTTTCTTATGCCTCTTCCTCTTCTTCTTTGTGGTGTTCTCAAGATTGAAATTATCGGTTAGGGTCGGTCGTTGTGCTATTCTCTGTTGTTGGGAATATTATTTTTTGTACTTTTTCTCTCCCACACTCACCAGTCTCTTTTTGGTGATCTCAAATAACCGCTCAGGAAATCGATTTTGTACGCTCTCTTCCTCTAACTGAGTGTGAGCCGAGAAGAAAGGGAGTCGTAATTATCAAGAAAAGACACTGAGGTCTTTCGTTTTCCTCTCCTCAAGAATTTTGTTGTTGTTGTCACTGCATTTGTTTATCTTTTATTTCAAATGCGGGCTATGCGACGGCGGATATGGTCCAGAGTTCTGTAATCACACTTCATTTCACTTGGGTCAAGTTGATGCTGCCGCACAGCCAAAGAATTTCAGTTTGTTTTGATAGACGGAATCCCACCATCACCACCGCTCCACAGCAATTGTCGCCGTTATCTCTCCAGGCTCGCTGGTTTTAAATTGATTTGTTGTTGTTTTTATCAATTTAAACTTCTTTTGTTGTTGAGGCGACATTAATATTTCTTTTCCGCCATCAAGAATTATTTTGTCTTTTTTTTGTTTTCTTTTGAAAAAGTAACGATTTTTATTCCCAGAGTTCAAAAACTTTGTTTTATCACAGTAAGAGATTTGTTCTGCGCTCCATCGGCAAGTGTTACACGTTTGTGGTTTTTAAAGGTAATGAAATAAAAATCCCAACATTCGCCAGGTTATATAGGACCGGCACGGAGAAAAACTCTTTCACAACACCCAGCCATTACGTCGTCGTGGTCGTCTACCACGGTAATTGTATATTAATAACCTTTAAAACTCTCAACTCTGTCAGAGAAACCAACCAACGTACACACATACATGTTTCCCCTTTACCCTTAACACCAAAACACCACAACGATTTTAAGCCAGACATTCAGGCCACTTGGTTAGAGAAATGAAAAACCCATTTGGAAAATTTTTCTTAGGAATTGTAGGTAGATGGAAAGAGAGAGAAAGTAGTTTTTCATGCTCTCCATAGCCAGTCAAATTGCTTTTGATTTATGACCCTTGTTGTTCGGTCTGCCTATATGTCAAACTGTGTTGCCACATTCATAGGTAAAAACAATAGAACAACAATAACAAAACAATTGTTGTCTGGCCAGAACTTTTAGAGGGAAATATCTATCAGGGTTATTCATAATGACCAGATGGTTACTCTTCCAGCAGGACGTGATGAAGTATATGATGCTGGCGCAGTTTGATCGATTCGTAACTCCAACAAGTAATTTTTTGTGGAAATCCTTTTTGAAATTTCCATAAAAAGTAAAGCAATGACAACAAAATGTAACATTACTTTAATTAGACAATTAGGCGGTGATACAAAATGTAGGTTTGAAAGAGCAATGAAATCTTTGTCATATAATAGGTCAACAATTTCTAGAGCTTATTTCATTATGAATTACTGTATGATATCCCAATTAAGTAGAAATGATTTATAGTTTTACCGAGAGGAATATTTTGCAAAACAACTTTCAAAACAAGTAAGCAAGGGCTACAGTCGAGCGGGGCCGACGGTTGAATACCCTACAACACTATAATAAACCATACAGTTTATATAGGCGAGATACTCGAAAGAACTCCACAAAATATTGTGACAAATAATAAAAGAAAACCATCAGGTTTCGTTCTCTAATTTTCGAATAATAGCAACCTTAACTAATTTGCTCATTTCCAATTTATTGGTAGATGTTGCACGTAAATGGTCTTCCTAGATCTGGAACCAATATTTCCCAAAGACCTATAATCTCTCAGAAGTGGCAAAAGATTAACATTTATTATTGGTTTTTGACTGAAACGCATCTATATGAGATACAGACATTTGACTATATTCTTCAACGAAATAGTCAGAAGTGCGTCTTTCCTGTATTTGTGAATTCTCCAAGAAGTCACTGGAATGGACATTTTCGTATTTTGTCTACAAAAGTTGGCAAACTATTCACACATTGAATATTTTTGGATGGCCATCCAAAACTGCTTGGCTTTTGCAATGTCCGGTAATCCCCATTCAAATTTGCATGAGGATCGGGCGATAATTACGACCTGCAGACAATTTTGCACTTTTTGATCCATTTCAACCCCTAAATATATGGCGATCGTCTCCAAAAAGAGTAGGCTTCTATTCTGACCCTCATCTTATCCCCATGGATCGGGCCATAAATTCGATCTGTATATGATATCCGGATATCCTATCTACTTAGTTTTGTTAGCTGTAGAAATATTACCAAATGTTTAATTCAAAATGAAAATATGCCAAAAATATGACAAAATTGAAAAAATATGAGAAAATGATAGAAAATCAATATTTTCATCTTTAGAGAGATATTTTTATGCAACTTTTTAGACGTTTTTTCTTTCCTGCCAAGAGGTCATTTTGAATTAATGAGAACTGTCGAAATCAGTTCAGCCGTTCTCGACATATAAGAGATTTTTCAAGCATATCTTCTTTGATAAACATATATATCGCACATATTTTGCTATATATCCGTTTTGTTGGATGTTAACATCAATGTAAAGATCAGAAGTAACCTTGTCATGGCTTTGTGATTTTGCCGGGATTTAAAATATCCGCGGTTTAATGAAAAATTTTGAATTTTTTCAACAAAAAAGATATGGTCTATTTTACCCGCTAAATATTATCCGATGACCACCCAAATTGGTAGGCTTCTTCCCCGCCCTAAACTCTAGCTACATGCGAAGTTCCGCGTCGATTGGTCTATAATTGCGACCTGTATAGCTACTGCAAAATCCGACATTTTTTCAGTATTTGGTACATTTCGACCCCTAAATATTATGCGATCATCTCCAAAAGAAATAGGGTTCTATTCCGACCCTAGCCCCACCTTCATTCTAAATTTCGTGAAGATCGGGCCATAATTGCGACCTGTAGAGTGATTACAAATTAATATGGACAGACGGACAGACGGACAGACGGACAGACGGACGGACGGACATACATAGCTAGATCGACTCAGCTCGGCGAGCTAGGAAGATCCATATATACTTTCCTATATGGGAAATCAATATTTCGAGGTGTTACATAAATTCTGGCCCAATCAAACTTATAATACCCCCAACACATAGTGTTGTAGGGTATAATTATATGTTGAGGGTTTTGTAATATTTGAATGGGCCAAAAAGTCTGTAACTCCTTGAAATATTGTTCCTATACCCACACTATAGTATACTGAATTTCAGATCTAGTCGATCTGAGTCGTTCTTCGAAATCAGGTTGAGGGTGACAGTCATCAATTTCGAATCATCTGGGAATACGTTTAGACCACTTTAATTTACATTAAAATTGATATGGTTAATGTATATAGTCAGATATTTGAGATATATCTTTCTATATTTATAAACAAGTAAGTAAAGGCTATAGTCCGACCATGTGATACCCTACAACACTACAATATGGAAATTATGTCATAGAACACTGACCAGATATTACCATTCGGGCAGATATTACCATTCGGACAGATATTACCATTCCCTCTCGATTGGTTTCAATTGCGTGATCAGGAAAATTGTTCTGTTTTTGTTTCATTTGCGATCTTCTCTATATCTCCAAATTTAGACTCATCTATATGATTTGCTTGTCTACAATATTTGGCTATGTTCGTCAACGAAATCAGCGTAAACAAGTAAAAAAGAAGCTAAGTTCGGCCGAGCGGAACTTTTAATACTCTCCACCCTTCCCAAGGAAATTAAAAAGATTCAAAAAAATCCGAAAACTACAACTGTATACTATTTTTTTTTCATAGGCTGTAGTACCCATTACGAACTTCAAATACTAAGTTTGTTACAATTATGGTAAATAATGCCGCAAAAATCATGAAAATTCGGAGTATCGGGAGGTACCGAAGACGTGGACCTACACGGACAATTTTCTGTCTTAAGTTGTAGTACCCATTACGATCTTCCAGTACGAAATTTGAAACAATTCCGGTGAATAATATTGCTGAAATCATGAAAATACCGAATATCGGGGGGCTATACGAAGACGAGGACCTACATACGAATATTTTTTCAATAGGTTGTAGTAACCATTACGAACTTCAAATACGAAATTCAAAATAATTCCGGTAAATAATGCGGCAAAAATCATGAAAATACGGAGCATCGGGAGGTACCGAAGACGTGGATCTGCACGTACAATTTTCTGTCTTAGGTTGTAGTACCTATTAGGAACTTCAAGTGCCAAATTTGAAACAATTCCGGTGAAAAATGTTGCTGAAATCATCAAAATGCCGAATATCGGGATGTATCGTCATATGGGGGCTATACGAAGACTTGGACCTGCATACGAAATTTGTTTCCATAGGTTGTAGCAACCCTTCACAACTTCAAATACGAAATTTGAAACGATTCTGGTAAATAATGTTGCTGAAATAATCAAAATACCTAATATCGGAAGCTACCGTTATATGGGGGCTATACGAAATCGTGGACCAACATAGCCCATTTACGAACTTAACATGCCTACTGGTAAACTATGCATGCATAAATGCAAAATTTTTGCCTTCTATCGCAATTCGTTCAAAAGATAGCGTGATTAAAACAGACAGACAGACTGACATCGCAAGATCGTCTTAGAATTTTACGCTGATCCAGAATATATATAAACATTTCGAGGAGTTACAAACGGAATGACAAATTTATTATACCCTCCATAGAATGGTGGAGCGTAAAAAAAGTGCAAGAACTTACAACTTAAAGAGCTAAAGAGTTGCTTCGCTTGGCCGAAAGTGGTGAACTGCCCAATTTGGTTTTCTCCGATGAGAAAATAAGTTTAGAATTGTTCGAATTTGTCACCTTTGGCTCGAATTATGGCCTTCAAACGCCCAATGAAACCATTGTACGCTGCCCGAATGTTGCTCTGCGGTATTTTGGCCCATTCCCAGCGAAGCGCTTGATTGAGGTGATCGAAACTTTGGTATTTTTTAGTACCAACCTTGCTTTCCAAAATACTCCAAACACAATAGTCCAACGGATTGGTATTCGAAGATTTTGTTGGCCATTGTGCGCTGGAAATGAAGAGAGAAACCTCATTTTGTAGCCATTCTTGGGTGGCGCGTGCTGAGTACGGTGGTGCTGAGAACTGTTGGAATGTCCAAAGTCTGCGGACAAAATGTTTGCTTTAATACACCCTACAGAATAGTTTCGCGATAATATTCGGCATTTATTCTGATGCCACGGTCCATTATTACGAGCGGAGAGCGACCATCGGCTGTTACGGCGGCCCACACCAACACCATGGCCGGCGCTTAAGTTCAGGTGGCCAACTGCAGTTGCACATTTTCAGCTGCCCTCTTTGGCAAGTAAACACGATAATTTTGTTTGTTTACAAACTGCTGGACAACGAATGTTTTTTCATCGGAGAAAACCAAATTCGGCAGTTCTCCACTTTCGGCCAAGCGAAGCAACTCTTTAGCTCTCTTGATTCTTATTTCTTTCCGTTGCGTTGTGAGTTCTTGCACTTTTTGGAATTTCAATGGCTTTACCCCGAGCTCATTTTTCAATCTTTACCGAATGGAACATTGAGATATGTTCAGCTCACGAGCCATTTTTCGACCACTGTGATACGGGTTTCGATCAAGTCGCTTCTTTACTTTTCGAACCATTTCTGCTGATGTTGCTATTTTCTTCCGTACTTAAATTATTACGGGAAACGAGCGATGGTACGGAAAAATCACTGGAACGAGCGACGGTACCGGACACAAAAGACTTATTCA